ATGTAAGACTATATATTAACTTTGAAAACTAGGAGTAAAAGTTAAGAGGGGCGAAAACATATATATCTAATTAAAGTATGAAAATTTTACGAAAATACGACTACATATAGTAGAAAATTTTGAAAGTTCAAGGGAGCGGTCGCCCCATCATGCCCCCCTTGGATCCGTCCCTGCCTAGCACCCCGAGAGGGAACAAATACTTTATAAGGACATCGATCGTGCGTAACAAGAGCTTTGATAAATTCTGTTCCATCTCATTTCTTGTTTTTCTTTGATCATTTAAATTATTTTTTTCTTCGTTTTTCCGAACTACAAACCCAACAGGTTCATCTCTTCCTATTTCCCAAGACCAAGCCATATCTTCTATATCTTGATGATTATGGCCACATCGATTTTCTTTCGAGTGTTTATGAAAACACGGTTGGGGTTTTCAACTCTATTGGGACAATTAGATATACACACTGACACACACAGTCTACCGGCTAAATATTTATGAAAATATTTTTTAGTAATTACTCTCTTTTAATAAATCTTATGTCTTGTAATGTAATTTTATATTTTCGGCAACCCTTTCAGTTCTTTTTTGTCAAACGGGTCTATTGTGATCAGCGAGCAGTTTAGATTCAGCATTTAAAAATTCAGTTCCAGATAATAGTTTATAGTTCAGATCATATATAGCCCTTAATTCAAACTTCAGCATCGAGCTCTAGCTTATTGTGCCAAACATAGCATTAGGAATAAAGACATGCAGCCATGCAGGTGCCCTATTCTTTGACATTGTAGAATACATTGTTTTGACATTGTTTGACACTATTTTGCACAGTCTTGACACTGTTTGGTTAGATTTGTTTGTCAAATAAGAAAGTGTAAAGTTTAATATGAGACTGCATAGAAAGAAAGGAAAATGATATGTAAAGATGATTAAAAACGGAAGTAATTTACGAAAAGCTTTTTATAATTTTATCCCGAAATTATAGGCATTTATTTACTTTTATAAGTAGGTCATCAAGGTAAAATGGACAGAATGGAAACACGATTCCCTTATTCTCGTTCGGTACTTATCACTTGTTAGGACTCGGTATATTTCTTCTCATATCACTGGGTTTTACTAAATTTAAATCCCCTGAAGTAACGCAGTATTACACTATTATTACATACGGAGTAATACGGAGTATATTCCTTCGGGATTATTATTATTATTATTATTATTATTATTATTATTATTATTATTATTATTATTATTATTATTATTATTATTATTATTATTATTATTATTATTATTATTATTATTATTATTATTATTATTATTATTATTATTATTATTATTATTATTATTATTATTATAACTATAATTACAATTAGATTTACTCTTTTGACTTCCTTGTCATATAACTAGAAAAATGCTTAAGGTACACAAAATGTGTACACATTTTGTGGTGGCCGGTAACAACCTCCGACGGAAAAACGCCACAGATCTCTGATGACAACAGTAGAAATTTTGGCAAGTCGACAGAAACATTATGGAAAAAAATTACAACGATGATTCGGCGGCAGATGCCAGTCTGGCGACCTAGCTATGGGCATCAGTGTTTAGAGTACATGAGCCTATTTTGATCCAATCACAAATTAAAAGTTCTATAAGGTATTTAAATTTGTTGGTCCTATATTTAGATAAAAAACTATATAAGTTTTAGTTGTATTAAGGTAAATCCCCCATAATTAATCATCAAATACTAAAATTAATACCTCATTATGTTATATGCACATAACAATTAGTTATGAAAATATACTTAGATTATTTTATATAATTATTGTTTAAATAATCGTGTCATTAATCAATGAGAAGTTTAAGTTGAGTTGGAGTTAGTGCATGTTTGATAGCTGATTAAACATAAGTCTTCATATTCAAACTTTTGTATTATTTAAAATGTCTCTAAACGTTTTAGTTATATGTTTGGTACAACAATATTAAGATTTAAAAAAATAAAAGTTCCTTTTGTAAGTGGTAGTTCTTGAGATAATTAAGTGTGTAACTTTTAACATTAATTAGTCACAATAATTTGTTATATCAAATTAAAATAAATGAATGTGTTAGCTTTTTATCAAACAATCATAATTTTTGTTCTTTTTTAAAAATTTTAAATATATAAAATTAACGGTTACTAAAAGCTAACAAAAATATGTGCAGGATATCTTCTTGGGTTTTTTACGAGAATATTACTAAAATAAAATTTATTTACATAAATATAACTATTCATTACTACAACGTAGTGCTGTGGTAACTAAAGTTCAAAACTTGAACATAAATTACTATGATTTCATTACTACTCTAGTAATGAATCATATTTTTGTAAACCATCTTTATTTTGGTCATATTTATGTAATTATTTCTATCTTCTTATGCCAACATAATCATAATATACTGTTCTTCAACTAGATATTTCATCGTCACACAGCATCTGAATTACGGGAGGATATGCAAAACCAATTCTCTTTGGAAAACAGTGTCAAAATCTATCCATTCAAACTTACAAATTTATAATATTTATAATTTACGACATTTAATTAGTTATATATGCACAACATTTAGTAAATTTTGTAAGATATTTAACTTTTAAATTAAAGGGTGCTAGAAACATCATGGAAGTAATTTTTGTAATCTAATATTCGTTAAGGCCTCTATAGTTAAATATTTAATTAGTTATTTTCCCTCAATTGTAAGTTCTTGACGGGCCGGGGAATTGAACCTTTATTCCTTTAATTTATTTGCTTGGTAGTACTATGAATTTTAATGTTATATATTAGTTGTTAGTGTAGACAATAAATATTTACCACTTTTAGAATGAAGAGTTTAATTTACGGGCCATGCTAATCAAACCCCAATTGGATATATTTACAATCCTAATCATATTGATTTGGGCCTATTAATACAATGAGCTGGCATCACCCATGAGTTAAGTTCATTCGAGGCCCAGCTAATTCAATACGATTGAAATTTGAAATCTTCCGGATAAAACTTTGGGGGAATTCTAAACACAGCCCCATAATTGCTAGATACAGACACACATTTTCGTATTTTATTTTAATTCCTATTTTATCCTTATTTATAGTTTAACACCGTCTAAAGTTTCCAACGGAGAACCGAAGAAGCTAGTAGGGCTGGGCAAACGGGTCTTGGAACCGCGGTCTGGTCCGGGTATTGGCGGTTCGGGTCCAAAACGGGCCGGTTCCATTTTTTGTTCCCATAAAACGGTCCGGGTAGGTCCGGGTAATTTTTTTAAGGACCCGGGCCGGTTCCAAAATAAAAACATACCGGGTACCCGGCCCGGCCCGTTATATATTGTATATTAATTTATTAATAGTTTTGTGATAATCGGTTTTGAAATAGTTTTGTTTTCCTTTACTAGAAGTAGGATTTCAAATTGAGTTATAGTAACATCATTTTACTTTCAAATTATTGATTAAATTTTACATAAATTTCTTATTACTTTTTATTGTTATTGAATTATTCCTTTCTATGGAATTTAATTGTTTGTTAAAAATGATTTTGTTATATTTGTTTTATAATATTGTTCTTAAAATATATAAATTGTGATTACAACCCCCATGTGTGTGTTAACTTTGGCTAATACTGAAAAATTAATAATAAAAAAACAAAATCACCTTAATACGTGATGTTAGACAACATTTTTAAATTCAAATGTTAGAAAATATGTAGTTTGGCTATGTTGCTGATTTTTGGGACTTCTTTAATTGTTTGGAACTTATATACATGAAATTATGGAGTATTGGACTTGTCACTTGTGTTACATGTGCACCACTATGTTGTTATTTTGAAACTTGCTAATGTACTACATTATTGATTATTGACTTTTGAAACTTTGTGAGTTTTTACTAATTTTAAGACATGAGAATAGAAACCGTAAAACCCGGACTGGACCGACTCGTTTCAAACGGGCCGGGTAAGGTCCAGTTCCTATTTTGGAAATTGCAAAACCCGGACCGCACCGTACAACGGAACCGGCGGTTCCATTTTATTTTGCATTACCCGCCCCGACCCGGCCCGTGCCCAGCCCTAGAAGCTAGATCCATCAGCGAGTCGACACAGCCCAGAAGTAGGCAGCTCACAATTCCGTGGATACTTCCATTGGATTCGAGTTCCATGCTCTGTTTTTTAGTATTGGAAATCAATCTCCTTTTAATTGTAGTGGCAGTTCTCTAGTAGCTTCCCCAAATACATCTCTTACGGCTCAAAGAAATATGAAGAACTATTGTCAGGTGTGTTATCGGATACTCCGTATAACATAGATGTGAAAAATGGTCATGCTCCCAGCCTCTCGCTCAATAAATTGAACTAATGCAAAAAGTGATAAGCACGTACTCCAAAAAACTGAAATATATTTGGGATACTAATCTCATGTCGAATTAGGGCAATAAAGAATTCTCGGATTTTCTCTTTCCAGCTTTCTTCCTTGGCTGGTAAGACCGCTTTAGAGCTTTCCAGGTTTCTACGTTCAGGTGATTTACCAAAAAGGGGGAAAAGGGGGATGGGGTTGCCAAAAAACGGGGATTTTTTTAGGGTTTACCAAAAAGGGGGAGTCGGAACTGGGTGTTCCGACTAGGTTTTAGGGTTAAAAAAAATTCTTCCCCCCCTAGTCGGATTAGGGAGTTCCGACTAGGTTTAATTTTTTTTTTTTTCGAAATTTGTTTTTGAATTTGAGTTTGTAAAAAATAAAAATGTTAGGGCTAAATTATATCAATTCCAAATTTAAAATTTCTTTTAGATTCATGACATATTTTTTAACATGAAAACTTAGCATTATGATTTTTTTACTAAGAAAACAATTGATTGCTTTAAATTGTTTTTTAATCCATTTGTATTGTGAATTTTGTTTTAATTGCAATTTTTGTAATTTTAAGTGCAATTTTGATTTACTCCATTCGTCTAATTAGATAAAAATTTTATTTTGTTTTAAGTGATTTTTTTTTATAATTTTAATGGAAGTGAACAAAACAAATGTAGTTTTCAATATAATTTATTAATGAATAGACGGTACATACAAAATTAAATTTAATACTACATCTAATGTTGCGTGCTCGGCCCTGCTCCATCCCCACCGCCAGTGTTCCAAGCCCCCGTTGTGTCTCCATAGTAAAAAGACGAATTCAGAAATGACTCAACATAAACATCAGGTTGTGTGGACCACTGATAAGAATCATAACACGGCGGTGGTTGATCAAATGACCCACCTTGATGCGTTGAGAATTGAAGGGGTGGTTGATCAAATGAGACACCCTGTGTTGAGAATTGAGGGGGCGCTTGTGAATCCTCACCCCCATCTTCACGTTCATGTGAATCATCCTCTTCGTCACTTCCACTTGCATCTTCATCTTCATAGTGGAATATTCCCCGGTGGAGCATATCTTCATCACCTACATCCAGGGCCATCTGCCGTAATCGTTTTTGACAATCCTCATAACTCGCGCGGTCGGCTAAGAGCTGATACACCTCGTGAACGCCTTGCTTCTACATAAAAATGTAACACGTGTAAATAATATGACACGATATATGGTAGCGAATATGGTATGTATTCAAAAACTTACCACAATACCCCAATCGTGTGCTGTTGGGGTGTAGCCTGTCGTGGGCACATTGTGAGAAGGGTTCTGGACACGTGTCATACCATGCTTCTTGTACCAGTTTCGGTACCTTTTAGTTGCTTCGAGGGACATATATCGATCATAATCAAGAACATATATATTATGTTGTATGTCCGCCCACATCGTCAAGGCACCGATCACTATGTTGGAACGAGATCCGTGATGATCACTACCCGGCAGAGGAGCATTCGGAATGTCTTGCCTTATACCGAACTGCCGAAGAAATCGATCCGGGTAATGCATTTCGGCCATATTGCAAAATATGAGCATGACTCTAGCCGACCAAAGCGGAGCTTCATTAAGGATGAGAGGCGGGAGCATCTCGGACGCGTAGGGAGTGAAATCAAACTGTAAAAAGTTTAATTTGCAATTTAAAAACTAGAAAAAATAGTGTATTTTAAGGCTGAATAGTACGATTGAAGTAAAAAATTTATGTACTACCTGACTCTCAGTCATGCGGTCTAGGTCATCCCAGTACAAGCGTACGCAATGTCTTGGGGATCCCTTATATGACTTGGGGACGATCCACCTACATTTATTGATTACCGATATGAAGTTAAAAAATGTAACGTCATGTAAAGCATTCTCAATTATTAAGATGTAATTGACAACATACTTGCACCCATATGGAAGATGGCCATGTTGAATGACCTGAAGTGCTGAGGGACGGACCATCGAAATCCTCGACCAAGCCCAAATCTGTAACAAGTGCATACAACCGCCAACTTGTTTGGTTTCCCACATCGCGCCGTTGCACAAGTTATGGTAGAGGTACCCGAGAACCGCTGATCCCCAACTCCAGCGACGGGCTAAAGCCAAGTCACCCTGCAAGACCTCCAAAAAGTACAATCGTATTCTTGCCCCACTCGTGTCAGGGAACAAAAACCCTCCAAGCAATTGCCATATTAGAGTCCTGGTGTGTTGGGTGACCTCTTCGTCTGTACTGTCATCTACGATCCGGTGACGGGTAACAGCACTCATAGTGATATTACTCGTGCGCAAATCAGTCTGTAGAGGAGTGAAACCACACGACTGAGTGCACAGGTCGATCCACTGATCCTTACCCCTAATGGTTGGACCACTGAGGGGCATACCCCGAATGGGCAAACCAAGGATCACTGCCACATCTTGTAGACTAATGCCGACCTCACCGAATGGAAGATGGAAAGTATGTGTCTCTGGCCTCCATCTCTCCACCAACGCGCTTATTAAACTATGATCCACCTTCATACGGGCAATGTGCTCTACCCCCAAGAACCCAGCATATGCTAACATATTTATCACCCTTTCATCTCGCGCTTCACATCCGAATGCAGCTGAAGGGCAACTGACGCATTTCAAGCACGAGTCTTTGGAATCTGGTTCATACCATACACGGTCTGCACGATGGGCACGAAGTGGCAACGTGAGTAGTGACTGGTTAATAGGCCCTGGGCGCGGAGTGTTTTGGTCCATTTGAAATTCCTGAAATAAGTAGTTATAAATTACTACCTCCGTCCCACTAAGATTGAGACGGAAGAATGTGGCACGATTATTAAGAAAAGTGGGTTTGTGTGGTTGATATTAAATTGATAAAGTAAGAATAAAGTAAGATTGGTTTAGAGTCACACAATCTTTACCAAATTTGGTATGGGACAATCTTAGTGGGACTTCCCGAAAAGGTAAAAATGCGACAATCTTAGCGGGACAGAGGGAGTACTAATTTTGAAATTTAACTCTAAATCTAAATTGAGCACAATTTATAAATTCACAGGTTTTGAACTCAAATTCTAAAAGTCCAATTTCACAATCTATATTAAAAATTCACAAATTACTAAATTAAGTACTTCTACACTCTTTAAATTGAATTTTAAGGCTATTTCTAAATGTAGCACATTTTCTAAGTTTATAGTACTTTATCGCTAAATCTAACTCTAAAAGTCCAATTTCACAATCTATATTAAAAATTCACAAATTACAAAATTAACTACTTGTACACTCTTTAAATTGAATTTTAAGGTTATTTCTAAATGTAGCACATTTTCTAAGTTTGTAGTACTTTATCGCTAAATCTAACTCTAAAAGTCCAATTTCACATTCTAAATTAAAAATTCACAAATTACAAAATTAACTACTTGTACACTCTTTAAATTGAATTTTAAGGCTATTTCTAAATGTAGCACATTTTCTAAGTTTGTAGTACTTTATCGCTAAATCTAACTCTAAAAGTCCAATTTCACATTCTAAATTAAAAATTCACAAATTATAAAATTAACTACTTGTACACTCTTTAAATTGAATTTTAAGGCTATTTCTAAATGTAGCACATTTTCTAAGTTTCAAGTACTTTATAGCTAAATGTTACTCTAAAAGTCCAATTTCACAATCTATATTAAAAATTCACAAATTACAAAATTAACTACTTGTACACTCTTTAAATTGAATTTTAAGGCTATTTCTAAATGTAGCACATTTTCTAAGTTTCTAGTACTTTATCGCTAAATCTAACTCTAAAAGTCCAATTTCACATTCTAAATTAAAAATTCACAAATTATAAAATTAACTACTTGTACACTCTTTAAATTGAATTTTAAGGCTATTTCTAAATGTAGCACATTTTCTAAGTTTCAAGTATTTTATAGCTAAATTTCACTCTAAAAGTCCAATTTAACAATCTAAATTAAAAATTCACAAATTACTAAATTAAGTACTTCTACACTCCTAAAACCGAAAATTAACTAACAATTCTAAATTTAGCACACTTTCTAAGTTTCAAGTATTTTATACCTAAATTTCACTCTTAAAGTCCAATTTCACAATCTAAATTAAAAATTCACAAATTACTAAATTAAGTACTTCTACACTCTTTAAATTGAATTTTAAGGCTATTTCTAAATGTAGCACATTTTCTAAGTTTCAAGTATTTTATAGCTAAATTTCACTCTAAAAGTCCAATTTAACAATCTAAATTAAAAATTCACAAATTACTAAATTAAGTACTTCTACACTCCTAAAACCGAAAATTAACTAACAATTCTAAATTTAGCACACTTTCTAAGTTTCAAGTATTTTATAGGTACTTTTCACTCTAAAAGTCCAATTTAACAATCTAAATTAAAAATTCACAAATTACTAAATTAAGTACTTCTACACTCCTAAAACCGAAAATTAACTAACAATTCTAAATTTAGCACACTTTCTAAGTTTCAAGTATTTTATACCTAAATTTCACTCTTAAAGTCCAATTTCACAATCTAAATTAAAAATTCACAAATTACTAAATTAAGTACTTCTACACTCTTTAAATTGAATTTTAAGGCTATTTCTAAATGTAGCACATTTTCTAAGTTTCAAGTATTTTATAGCTAAATTTCACTCTAAAAGTCCAATTTAACAATCTAAATTAAAAATTCACAAATTACTAAATTAAGTACTTCTACACTCCTAAAACCAAAAATTAACTAACAATTCTAAATTTAGCACACTTTCTAAGTTTCAAGTATTTTATAGCTATATTTCACTCTAAAAGTCCAATTTAACAATCTAAATTAAAAATTCACAAATTACTAAATTAAGTACTTCTACACTCCTAAAACCGAAAATTAACTAACAATTCTAAATTTAGCACACTTTCTAAGTTTCAAGTATTTTATAGCTATATTTCACTCTAAAAGTCCAATTTAACAATCTAAATTAAAAATTCACAAATTACTAAATTAAGTACTTCTACACTCCTAAAACCGAAAATTAACTAACAATTCTAAATTTAGCACACTTTCTAAGTTTCAAGTATTTTATAGCTATATTTCACTCTAAAAGTCCAATTTAACAATCTAAATTAAAAATTCACAAATTACTAAATTAAGTACTTCTACACTCCTAAAACCGAAAATTAACTAACAATTCTAAATTTAGCACACTTTCTAAGTTTCAAGTATTTTATAGCTAAATTTCACTCTTAAAGTCCAATTTCACAATCTAAATTACAAATTCACAAATTACTAAATTAAGTACTTCTACACTCCTAAAACCGAAAATTAACTAACAATTCTAAATTTAGCACACTTTCTAAGTTTCAAGTATTTTATACCTAAATTTCACTCTTAAAGTCCAATTTCACAATCTAAATTAAAAATTCACAAATTACTAAATTAAATACTTCTACACTTCTAAAACCGAAAATTAGCACACTTATAGCTTTAAATAGTCTTAAATTGAATTTTAAGACTATTTTTAAATGTAGCACACTTTCTAAGTTTCAAACACTTTATAGCTAAATTTTACTCTACAAGTTCAATATCATAATCTAAATTAAAAATTCACAACTTACAAAATTAACTATTTCTGTACTCATACAATTGAAAATTTACTAACCTGAGAAGGCTGATCTCAAAGGTTGGATAGCTTGCTAGATTGAGCAATGATATACTAATGATTATATATAAAACTGAGGTGTAATAAAAATATAAGGTTTATAGAAGCTATATTTATAAGCGGGAGAAAATAAAAAAAATACTGCAGTCGGATTTAGCAGTTCCGACTGGAGGGTGGGCATTAAAGAAAACTCCTGTCGGATTTGGGAGTTCCGACCAGAAGGGGAGCGAGAGATCCGCCCGATTGTGATCCGCGTAGGTCTAAGGAACGGTTAGGATTAGGATTCAAACTAATGTGTTAGGTAGTAATAAAGTGTTAATGCGTAGGACAGATATGACGAGATGAATTGGACAAAAGGTTGCTGGAGAAAAGTTGCTCACGGGATTAAAGCCGAAATGGAAAGGATTTCTCCCAGTCGGATTAGGGTGTTCCAACTGGGGGAGGAGATGTGGACGGTCCGATTGTGATCCGCGCAAGTGTGAAGAACGGTTAGGATTAGGATTCAAATAAAATGTGTTTGTTTAGTAGATGGTGTAGGTGGAACGAACGGATAGGATTAGGATTACAAAAAATGTGTTTCTTTATTGGGATGAGTTCGGTACAAATAAAGTGTATTGAATATTTTAGGTTGGCAACAACTTAAATTTTATCTATAATTTTTTTTTCAGATTATATTTATCAGATCAAATGTGATGTTATTTTTGACAACTTAAATTTGATCTGATAAAATTTAATAAGATTATATTTTATCTGATTAATAAGATTATATTTATCTGATTACATTTTATGTTATTGAAATTATCTTATTAAATTTTATCTCATTAATTTTATCTGTTTAAATTTATCTGATTAAATTTATCTGATGGAATTTATGTTAACAAAAAGTTCATATACAATGAGTAAGCCCCAAAAAAGAGAACAAATATTTCATTACTAACAATGTAGGGTACAATGTATACATTACAATATCACTCATTTCCTCTCCCAGTCGCACGGAAATCCATTTCATTGGGAAATCGAGTTCTCTGTGGCCTACCAACTCCAGCTGATCTGCTGTTTGTGGGCGGAAGAAGTGTATGCGGTGTTTCTGCCATGACATTGACGTAATTATTAATAGGCATAATATCAGAAGCGTACGTCCGCATGTACGCATTTAACGAATACACATCTGGGATGTATGCGTGTACGGTTATTTTTAAAAACCGACAAACCGCATATGCGTGAACACATGGCAGCCCATTCTGCTTCCAATACCCGCACCCACATTCTTCCCTTGTCAGATCGATTGTCACTGGATCATGCGAACTAATAGCTACAGAGTAAATCCCCGATGTGAAATTGTGCGGGACAATAGTTGTGTGATACCTACGCTGTGATCGCTCTAGAACAGCCTTCCAGATGTTATTTGGATACAAGAATCCAGCTTGGTGCCACATTATTCCCGCATTTCGTCGATCAGCAAATATTTGGACGACTTTATCGAATGTGGCCTTTACTAGTGCTGTGATAGGCAATGTGCGACATCCCTTTAAGACATTGTTAAAACTTTCTGAAAGGTTTGTCGTCAAAATACCATATCTTTTGCCATCGTCATAGCTCAGGGCCCACATTTCAACAGGAATCTCATTCAAATACAAAAAGGCACTCTCATTTATGCCTAGTATTTGTTCCATACAGTCATGAAATTCCTGTTCTGTGGGAGTGCTACCAGCTTGCCAACACAATTTTTTCAGTTCCGCGTTTCTAAACTTGGTCATGAAATTACTCCGTATGTGACGGAGGCAATAACGCTTTGAAACTTGTGGCGATCTCAACTCTGGCAAGGATCTAAATGCACTTTCGATTCCTGCATGACGATCGGAGATAATGCACACACTACGGCGACTTCCAACCACATCACGCATAACCCTTGCAAAGAACCACGACCAACTGTCAGCATTCTCACTCTCAACAACAGCATATGCAAGAGGAAATATCTCACGGTTAGCGTTCATGGCTACCGCTACTAGAAGAACACCCTTGTATTTGCCATACAAGTGAGTCCCATCAACCGAGACTACGGGTAAGCAAAATCTGAATCCGTCTATAGAAGCTTTGAATGACCAGAACACTCGACGGAATTCAGACGTATCAGGACCGCTGACCTGTTGTGATTGCAAATGAACAACCGTCCCCGGATTTGAAAACTGTATAGCTTGCAACAACATAGGAAGTTCATTATACGAGGCCTCCCAATTGCCGAATTTGCGCTCCAGAGTGATCAAGCGTCCATTCCAAGCTTTTTTGTACGAAACATTGATATGAAATTTTTCATATATGTCTGAGATTATCAGTTTAATGCTGTAGTCCGGGTCGATTTTCACTTTTGGAGCGATTTCACTCGCTATGAGCTTGGCCGTTAGGATCTTATCATCCCTAGCCGTGACAGGATCCTCCCTACAACTGTGATGGGGTTGATATTTTTTTACTTTCCACTTTGTTGAAGTCATACCTGCTGCTGCTTGGATATGCCAAGTGCAAATGGTCGGGTTTATGCAAACCGCCTTCCAGGACCGTGCCCTTTTGTCAACCGATTGGAATTGACGAAATTGACGAATGTTTTCTCTCGCCACCGCTTCTTTGAGTGCATCATATGATGGGTAAACTGCGCCAACTTCGATCCTTTCAGGCTCAGAATCTAGCTCATATGGTTCTTCGGGTAGCTCTACATTGCCCCAGGTGGTGTCTACTTCATCGTCTGCATCATCCCTCGTGGATGAATCCACATCACCACAAAATCCTTGTTCATAATCTGGGTCGTCCGACTCTTCACCGGAGTCTGCATGAATTTATATGACTTAATGGGTTAGATTTTGTTTAAAGGCGTTATATTATAAAATGTGAGTTAATGTAATCGAATGAGTTAAAAATTACTAAAATAAAAACTTCTAAACAAAAAAAAAATTCTCGAATATAAAATTTCTTAAAATAACAATGTAACAATATAACTATATAAAATTTAAATTATATAGTTTTTTAAAATAAAACAAAATAGACAGCAAGAAGATTTTTTAATTATAAAACAGTTTTTTAAATTAAACTCCCCCTAGTCGGAATTGCTCTATTCGACAAGAAGATTTTTTATGTTTTTTACATTTTAATTCAACAACAATTAAAATTGGATTCAATACACTAATAAAGATAAAGGAAATAATGAATTTGCAAATTTAAATTAAAAAATTTGCAAATTACTAAATGTACTACGTCTACACTCCTAAAAAACCTAATTAAGACAAATTATAAGTTAGCGATCTATGTATAGCTTTTTTAACGACGTGATACTATATCCGTCTAAATAAATATCGTAAATATATAATTAATATAAGTAATATATAAATCACATATAAGTAATTAGGTACGCGTAATATTATTATAAAGATATTAAATTGAACCGTTATTAATTAGCCTAATTATGCATAATATTAGTATTATTTAATATATTATACTACAGATAATATATATGCTTGTATGATAGGATAAGTATATAATTCACTAACTAATACATATATTACTAATATCAGTGATATATACTCAATAACTCATTATGCCAATTTAACTAATATTTACGAATTACTAAATTAACTACTTCTTCACTCTTAAAATGATAACAAATAAAATCAAATCATTGTAAATTCTACTTAAATTGAACAATACATACCGGGAGATTCATAGTTCTGAAACATTTGGCGGTTGTTCCTCCGACCATATATTGATGATGGGCCTTCCTCTCCGGGAGTTCCGTGGAACTCCAAATTTTGTGGCGGGGTCGCTGAAGCTTCCACGTAAATGTGCAACTCCTCATACTCATTTGTAGCGATCCGGAAAAAATGACGCCATGTCCGCTCATCGTGAATGGGCCATAATCTAGAAGCAACATATACTGAATTCTTATACTTTGGCAATTTTCCGTGAATTAATTTAATTTCGGAAAATCCGTCGCCTCTAACATGATTTAGAACTTTCTCATGTATAGTAGTATAATCATCTCCTTCACTAACCCATAGTACCGCCCTAGGAGGTATGGAGTACTCTATTTCATCATCTTTTTGAGATGTAGAGCCATTCCAATGAACCATAACAACAATATTGCCCTCACTGGACATTTTTATATATGGTATATATTATAAATATAATATGAGAGGGGAATGCTAAACAAAAAAATAATGAATATATTAAAGTGTTTTTGGATGAATATGGTATGTGCGGATGGTATGTTAAGAAAGAAAGAAGTGTTTTTGGAGTGTGTTTGTAAATTTTGAAAAGAAATGAACCGTTTTTATAGAGTTATTACGGTAGGAGTTTGGTGAAATACTCGAACCACAACAAAACACGTCCCCTACCCCCCAGTCGGATTCCCCAATTCCGACTACGTACATGCGTACGTAAAATTATACTGCGAGCAATCCAATTTTTTTTAAAATCAATATTATGGTCGGATTTCATTATTCCGACAAGGCATTTTTTCTTTTAAATATTAGTCCCATTAATTAAACGAAATAAACCATTTAAAAAAAAATACCCTAGTCGGAATTGGGTAATCCGACTAGGTAGTTAGTTAGATTTTTTTTAAATTAGGCTCCATTTATTAAAACAACGAATTCTATTTTTTTTAAAAAATATTTACCCTAGTCGGATTACACAATTCCGACTAGGTAGTGGGTTTTTTTTTAAAATTACTCTAGTCGGATTCCCCAATTCCGACTAGGTAGTTGTGTATTTTCGCAAACCCTAATCTCCAGTCGGAATTGGGAAATCCGACTCCCGTGTTTTTGTAACCTAATTGACACTCCCGCTTTTTGGAATGTCAGACGGGAAAGTCCCGTTTTTTGGTAATTCCTACTCTACGTTCTGCCCTGTGTGAGCGAAATAAGGTTAACGATAGGTAACAGGTTAACGTTCTGGCTTTCTTAACGATACATATGTAGATTAAAGGTAGTTTAGATAATTCAGATGTTTTTATTTATTATTATTATTTAATTAAGGGGTTGTGTTTAATAATTCAGATGCCCTATAAAGGCATTCAGCTACTCCGGATTCGCTAAGACTAAAAAATGAAATTCATGAAACAGTTCCACAAGTAAAACGTTTAGAAGTTCAAAACAGGATACTATACTTTTATTTTCTCAATGAGTAAATATTGTTAATTTTAACAAATATCATCATGTTTAAAAAATATAATGAAATTATTATGTAGTTAATATAATTAGACTAGTTAACTAATTAATCAAATAAATTAAAGTAAATTATGGAGGGATTAGTATGATTAAAGAAAATAAGGTTGGACTAAAAATTAACATTTTAAATAAGATTTATGAATCTAACTTAATAGTTATATTTAAAGAAGGAATTATGAAATTAAAATAATTAAAGGTTGGATAGATAGGAGATAACAAAAATAATAGAGTAGTTATTGATTTAGAGTTTTGATATATATTAGAAGGAGGATTCAAGTGAAGACCAAGCTAGAGATTTTATTAAGAGGATTACCGCAATTTAAGGCAAGTTCTATGTCAACCAAAATGTTTTGCCTCGTACTTATATGTATGCAATATTTGCACTATGTCAATTATTTATGAATTGGAAATTATATGTTTGACATGGATCGGATATTTTGACTATATGAATATTGGTGGATTATTACCTTTTATGGATGATTAAATGTATATTCTTTTTATTAAAGAATATTGGTGGATTTATATTTATTACAAAGGATATTTTGAGAAAATGTGACAAGAGTGATTTGGGGAAAACTTAAAGTTTTCATAATATATATTCCTACGTCTCGAGAAAAACACGAGGCGTGGGTGGTTAGGGCTACTACTACTTTTGGTGAAATTTATTTGGGTCGGTAACCAGTCCGACAATGACATACTCCGGTAGACATCCCGGGCTTTTATTTGAGGATCAAAGATCCTTTGGTGGTCGTAGTAGTAGTTACCTAATTTACCCTTGGACAATGTCCCTTGTGAGTAGGTGGTAGGGAAAACATCTCGCCTACTTGGGTTTCTTACTACTCGGAGGGCTTGGAATCCCTTTTAGAGGGTGTGCACACTTAAGGTAGAAATTCAGCTTCCAATTGGTGGTCGGTGGGAGCCGGAATTCCGGGATGAGTCGTAGATAACAATGACTCATTGGGCTCGAGGAATCTTGAGTTTCGCCCACTCTTAAAAGAATCTAAAGTATTACTTTTGGAGGAATTGAAGGATGATATTATCTATTGTGTAAATTATTTTATGACATTAAACCATTTTAGAAATATGAGAGACTACTTTTCAATATACACTACAAAAAAACACGGGTGTAGTCACGGATTTAGTCACGGACTGCAGTGTAAAATTTCCGTGACTAAAAAGGTTAGTCACGGTCATCAGCCGTGACTAAATCCGTGTCTTAATTGGCGTGACTAAATGCAGTCACCGCCACTTGGCCGTGACTAATTGTAGTCACGGACTAGTCACGGTCGTTGGCCGTGACTACTTTTATGCCGGAGAACCAATTCCGACGCGTTAGTCACGGCCCACAGCCGTGACTTTTATATTCTTTTTTTTTTAAATATTAGTCACGGTCTAATCCGTGACTAATTAAATGCGGTTTTAAAAAAATCCGCCATCTTAGTCATGGATTAAGCCGTGACTAAGTTTTGAATTTTTCAAAATTTTCATAAGCCCGCCCGCGGTTGTTTTAGCCTGTTTTGAAATTTTTAATTGGTCACGGACATGTTGCCGTGACTAGTTTAATTTATTTTTTAAAAAAAATCTTTAGTCACGGATTATGGCCGTGACTAATTTAATTTATTTTTTAAAAAAAAAAATTCGGGTTTTTTATAACAGATGTTTTTACATATTACATATATAATTTTATTTATAATAAACTTATATTAAAATAATAATATAATTTATTTATAAAATTATTTTATTTCAAAAAATATTAACAATTATCTTTAAAATTTTCTTTATTAAAAATATTATTCTAATTTTTTTAAAGAAAGAATTACATTTTAAACGACAGTAAAGCAAAAATAAAACATTAAAAAAACACGTACAACAAACTAAATAGATATTTATGCCTAACTTTCCAATGTAATATGAAATACTAAACGTTAAATGTATGATTACATGTCCGTTTATCGTCGGACTCCATTATGATAAAAATTAGGATCTTCTTCTTCATCATCATCATCATCAACAAGAAACTCTTCTGGGTTCATGGGGGGGTCTTCGGGCTGCACGGGGTCTTCGGGTCGGGTTCCTCCTCGGGGTCCTCCTCGGGGTGCTCCTCGGGGTGCTCCTCAGGGTCCATGGCTCGGTGCACCACTACCTCCTCCGGATGACCTCAAAAAATCAAAGGACTGAGATCCGAAAGTCGGACTTATCATAGGTGTGCCACCGTATCCGGAGTTGGAGAAAAAACCCATACTGCCCATGTGCGGAACTTGAGGAGTTTGCTCAGGATGGAATACGTACGGGGGAGGAAAAGGCTGGTGCAGAGGCTGGAATCCGGCACGCATGAACCGTTCCATCTCCTCCAGCCGGGCTTTTGTGGCCTCATCTGCTTTCCGCTGCTCCTCCCATCACCGTTCGTGCTGCTCCAGTTCACGCTGCATTGTAGCAATACGAGGATCTTCTCCCCGCCTTGACCGAGAAGAGGAAGCGCCGGTGCTTCGATCATACAAAATCCGTTGCCCCTCGGCCCCCAAGCACGGAACCCGGCCCTTGTAAACCCCGGCCGCCTCAATGGCCGCCTCATCATCCGCATCGGAATCGAGGTCGTCCTCCTGGGTCAAGCCTCGTGCCGCACGCTGCCTGTCAACGGATTCGTTGTACTTCGTCTGCATTTTCAAAAAATATTTTTTAAATGCTACATACTTAGATTTGAAATGTTACTAAATAACAAAATATGATGTTACATACTTCGAAGTCAGCGAGGCGGGGTGGCAGATCGGCTTCAGATTCCTCGCCGTGCTTCGTCCAGCAATGCTTGACGAGCCGGAGAACACCAACCCTCTTCTTCTCAGGACCAGCCTAAATGGTGTGAAAAAGACTTAAGTAAATTTTTTATAATGAAGGATTGTTATGGTGTAAGGTTTTTTGAATAGCACTTACAAGAGTTTCTTTATGGGCATTCTGAGATTTGCGACCCCCGTGCCACTGCGTCTCCAAGGCCTTCTTGGACATCCGGTTTTTCTTACCGGATTCACTTCTGGCCAAGAATTTCGGATTAGAAGACCAGTGGCGACAAAGGTTGGACCACACTTCATCCGAAACCCATTTAGGCTTTTTCGCACTTTTTCGGGCACGCTTAAAAGTGGCGCGAAGCCAGGCCGAAATCCTAGCATTGTAGGCTCTAAGAATATCGGCACCGTTTGCGTGAGTCCAACGATAGCGACCCTTTATTAAAACAAATTGGATTAATTAATCACTAGGTATATATTAGGCCAATACAATTAGGGAAGGAACATTGATTTATTTTTACCTTGAACAGGTTCCACCATAGTTCGCGGACCTTGGGGTCAACATCCGAGTACGAGGCCCAAGTGCCAAGAAAGTGTCCTCCGATTATGTTTTTGATGCCTTCGAACACTTCTTTGTCACTTAAAAAAATTAATAGTATTTATTTATATAAGATTTGGTTAGATTATTTAACATTATATAAAATTATTGAAAATAAGGTTTGTTCATAACTACTTACAAAGCAACTTCTGCAGGGGTCACCCAAACAGCTCTTTCGTTGTTGCGCTCCGCTTCGGTCATGGGCGCATAGTTAGGGCGGGGAGCCGAGGTCGATTGTTCGTTGCTCATCTAAAATATATTAATTTATTTTGTTTTTTGTTAGAACGCTTATAATAGAAGATCAAATTTTTATGTAATTAAGTATTATCAATTGTAAAGTATATAACATATTAAACTGGGTATAAGCTTAATATCAGGGTCCAATAATTGGTAATAAACAAATACTATAATTATCAAGGAGTTGACACAGTCGACCGAAAAATCAACCGGTTGGAGCTTATCAATGAGTTGACCCAGTCGATTCATTGATAAACTCCATCCTGACGATTCTTCGGGCTACGCCTTGAACCATGGATGGGCTACATCACATGTAGCGACATAATGTCAGTACATGCGCTTGGGAGAGTCCATCGATGACTCAAGCCGTAGCC